CGGGGCTTCGTCATGTGCCCCGCCCCCCGTACCTCACCCGGGGGAACTGTGTTCCCCTGCGTTCCCCCCTGAAATGACCTCTGAGGCAGAGAATTAAACATCCCAGCATAGCAAAATAAACAGAGTTTTAAAAAAGATATAGTAATAATGGATACAATAAAAGAACTTGAGCGCTAAAACGTAGATATCACGTGTTCCCTCTAAGCTGAGTTAGTGTGAGCTAGCTCACAGTTTTTTAGCCTCCAGCTCACACATTTTTGTCTTCGCTCAGGAAGGATGGCTCCACAGCAAACAAATATATGCAGTCGCCAAATCGCTCGCTCACAACTTTAATGCCGGTAGCTCACAAAGAAGAATTTTTGCTCAGAAGACTCCACAGCTTAGAGGGAGCATTGAGGTTGGCTAAAACTCTTGTAGGAGCAGCCGAGATTAATTTCTTCCTCATGTTTGATGACGGGGAAATAAAGGTAGCCACCTTAAGGGTAACATCTGGGAAAGCATCAGCCAACAGAAATTTAATACATTCCTCCTCTGAACCAGAAAAAATGTGTAAGGAACTGATTCAACCGTTTATTTCGAATGAGCCCATAGTGAGGACAGTGTCAAATATAACGAACAGTATCTCCCACCTGGTTAGAATTGCAGAAGTTCACTGGGTTTCTTTGTCCTCCTCTGGGAGGCCGTCGCAGACCTATGAAGGCCTGACGGGTGTTTGCGTTTGGTCTGGTAGACCACCAATTCTGCAGGCCTGGCATTACGTATGTATGTGTCTGTATGGACGGGTAACGTCCATTTCAGTGTATCTGAGGAAGTGTGCATTCACACGAAAGCTCACACCTTGAATAAAACTTTGTCGGTCTTGACGGTGCCGCTGTACCCAAACGTTGTTCTACTGTTTCAGACCAACACGGCCACCCACCAGAATCCAAGTGGAAATTCGGCAAAAGGGGGTGGGATCTAGAACTATCTTAATCTGGAGAGGGGGAATCTGGCGGTACATATTTGCTGGGAATGACATACTCAGAGGCAGGGGTCATTTCATAGAAAAAGAGGTGCAGGAGCTCATTCGCATAGCTTATTAGCATAGCTTATTGGCATATGTCAACCCCGCTGACATCACCGGAAGTGTGTTGGAAGGCAACACTCACCGCTCAGGCTCCACTGGACTGTTTTGGATTGCTAGCTATTAGGGGAGTGGGGTGGAACACGCAGATCTATCCTCACAGAGGAGGGAGAGCTTGTACCTGAATAAAACTTGGTCTTAAAGGTGCCACTGGACTGTTTTGGATTGCTAGCTATGGAAGGGGGGAACATGCAGATCTGCCCTCACAGAGGCGGGAGAGCTTGTACCTGAATAAAACTTGGTCTTAAAGGTGCCACTGAACTGTTTTGGTTTGCTAGCTATGGGTGTGTGTGTGTGGAACACGCAAATCTGTCCTCGCAGAGGACGGAGAGCTTGTACCTGAATAAAACTTGGCCTTAAAGGTGCCACTGAACTGTTTTGGTTTGCTAGCTATGGGGGGGGGGGTTGGAACACGCAGATCTGTCCTCGCAGAGGACGGAGAGCTTGTACCTGAATAAAACTTGGCCTTAAAGGTGCCACTGAACTGTTTTGGTTTGCTAGCTATGGGGGGGGGGGTTGGAACACGCAGATCTGTCCTCGCAGAGGACGGAGAGCTTGTACCTGAATAAAACTTGGCCTTAAAGGTGCCACTGGACTGTTTTGGATTGCTAGCTATGAAGGGGATGTGCAGATCTGTGCAGGAAGGAAGGAAGGAGAGAAAAGGAAAGAGGGAAAGAAAGAGATGGCAGGGGATGGACAATGGGTGGGGCTGGGTTAGGGAGGGGGATATAAGGGAGGCGAGCCAGGAGGTCAAGGAGGAGGCTGCTTAACAATTCTTGGATTTTGTTAGCAAAATATTGGAAGACAGATAGAATGCCAACTCGAGAAGAAATTGCCTTAAAAATGTTGGAAGCTGCGGAAATAGATAAGATACATGCACAATTGCATGGGACAGATGATAAGATATTTAATCAAAGATGGCTTCTAGTGTCCTGGCCCCACTGGTGGACCTCCTGATGGCCCCTGGTATTTCTGGCCACTGTGTGACACAGAGTGTTGGACTGGATGGGCCTTTGGCCTGATCCAACATTGGCATCTTTTATGTTCTTATGTAAAGATGGACAAGAGTAAGAAAATGGGTAGAATGTAATGTGTAGAGGACTCACATGCTGAAAACCTGAAGATGTAAAGCATTTGAACATAATGTACTAAACACCAATAAAAATGTTTACCAGAAAAAAAGGAGGAGGCTGCTGGAGGCCCTGGAGGAGCAGGGGTGGGGGGCAAGGGCGCCAGTATTTATTTATTTATTTGCATTTATATCCCGCCCATCCTGCGGACCGGCTCAGGGCGGGGTTGTTGTTGTTGTTCAGTCGCACAGTCGAGTCCGACTCTTCGCGACCCCATGGACCAGATGACGCCAGGCCTTCCTGTCTTCCGCCATCCTCTGAAGTTTGCTCAATTACATGTCCGTTGCATCTATGACACTGTCTGACCATCTCATCCTTTGCCGTCCCCGTCTTCTTTGACCTTCAGTCTTTCCCAGCATCAGGGTCTTCTCCAGTGAGTGCTCCCTTCTCATTGGGTGGCCAAAGTATTTGAGCTTCAGTTTCATTATCTGGCCTTCCAGGGGACAGTCAGGGTTGATTTCTTTTAGGATTGACTGGTTTGATCTCCTTGCAGTCCAAGGGACTCTCAAGAATCTTCTCCAGCACCGTAGTGCAAAAGAATCTGTTCTTCGGCGCTTGGCCTTCCTTACAGTCCAACTCTCACAGCCATACATGACTACTGGGAATACCATTGCTTTGACCATGCGGACATTTGTTGGCAGGGGGATGTCTCTACTTTCTATCATGCTGTTTAGGTTCGCCATCGCTTTCCTCCCAAGGAAATCCGACACGGGGCAGCGGCACCCGGGGCGACGGGGACAGGTGGCAGTCCCCCAGGAGGGTGCAAAACTGGCCAAAAAGGTCTCCCTGTGCTGTTTATCCAAGCTGCGCGTGGACTGCGCGTGATGCCCTGATTTCATCCCTTTCCTCCCCCCCCCCCTTGCAGGCCTAACAGATGACGAAGACATCAAGGTGCTCCTGAAAGGGTCCCTCCTCTGGAAGATCAAGGGCCGCCAGCAGCAGAAGCAGCGGCTTCACCGCCTTCAGGAAGATGGGATGACCATCTGGTTCGAGACCCGCTTCAAAAGGGCCCACTCTAAACACGTCTGTAAGTGTCAGGTAGCCCCGTCATAAGTCTGGAACGTGGAGGGGTGCCTTCCCATTTTCTGTCTCAGCTCTCCCTGGCTCACCCACCGTTTGCTATCTTACGCTTGACCTTGTAGATGCTCCAGCTGCAGTTTGACTCGCCTGGGAAAGGTAACGGCTTTTTGCTTTCCCCGCCCGTGTGTGATGTATCCATTGGCTTATACTTACCGGGGGGGATGTTTGATTCTAGTATAAGGGGCCCTTGTATAGGTGGCCATTCCTGACACAAGCTGTATACGTGTCTCTAGTACTGGATGCACCAATAAACAGTTATCTTCTTGTCGTGCTCAGGGTTGTCCCCGAGCCCTGTAACTCCTGTCGCCATTTTGAGGAGATATCGCAGAAGGAAACAAGCCCCTCAGATGTGAAAGGTCTGGGTGTTGCGTCACACTCCAGACTCCTTTCTCAGATCAATCGCTATTCCACCCTCTCTCTGCCTTGGATGTGCGATTATTTCTGAACACCTCCCGGCACTTTTCCGTTTCCTTCCTTTTATCTTTCTCCTCCCCTCCCTTACGGACACACTCCTCAAGCTCTTCCAGAGCCCATAGCTTCATCCAGCCGCCCATCACCGCATTCTCCAATCTCTTAATGTTTCCCCTTTTTGTCCCGCCTCTCTTTAAATCCCCCTGCCTCTAGCTTGGAGTTATGCATGCAGGGGAGTGCCCACTTCTGTCTTGGACACCATGACTGCCGCTCGCTGTCCTTTCCAGTCTGAGGGTGAGGGGCAAGGCAGGGGACCTCCAATGACCTCTGTCTTTCAACCGGGCCCGCCCCCCTGTAGGCAGAGGAGCGTTGTCCGTGCTGGACCGCTCCTTCGGCCTCGTCTCCTCCGAGTTCCCTCTGCGTTTTGGCCGTCGTTGAGGGAGGGGGTTGGGGATGCGCGTGGCTCCGGGACTGTTTCCCATGGCCCGTCCACCTCCCGGCATTTGCGGGGAACCCGGCACTAGCCGCGCCAGTCCCGCCGCAACGGCCTGTGAGGCCGCGGGCTCCATGTGTTGTGTGACCTGACTAAAGACCCTGACAGTAAGTCTCTCTAGAGCAACGTCTGAGTCCACTCTGGCACCTGTAAGGCCAGCGAAGTTTTATTCTGGGTATAAGCTTTTGTGTGCATGCACACTTCTTCAGATACACGGGAACAGACTTCCTCAAGCCTTACATATTGGGGGGGTCGGTTGCCAGACGAGTAAGTAACTGAGTGAGAAGTATAGTGAAGATTGGAATAAAGCAGCATACAAATAGAAGAGTTCGCAAACAGATGTGAGAACCAAGTCTGAGTCCAGTGGCACCTTTGAGGCCAACAAAGTTTTGTTCTGGGTGTAAGCCCTCCCCATCCCAGACACCCTGTGAGGTAGGTGGGGCTGAGCGAGTTCTGAGAGAACTGTGACTGGCCCAAGTACCCCCAGCAGGCTTCACGTGGAGGAATGGGGACCTGAAAACCCAATTCTCCAGATCAGAGTCTGCCAGTCTTAACCCCCACGCCTCGCTGACACCCAGCCCCGCCAAGCTGGACTTTGTCTCGCCGGGGATTAGTTATTCAACACAAAACTGGCATTATTAGGTCATCTGCGCCAAGCTGTCGTTGAGGGCACCCTCCGCCAGTCCATCGCTACAGCCCCAAATGCCACTTTGTTTGGAGTCAGCCAGACGTGAAATATTAAAAAACAAAACAAAAAACCCCCTCCAGCATTTGGCTCAACTTTCACAAGCGATTCTACTAAAATCTCTCGTTGTTGTAGAAATAGGACACGATGCGACGATTTAAAATGGAAGAAATTCCGTAAAATCCTGCCGTATCTGGCAAGGCTCCAGAGGAAGAGGGTTGACATTTCAGCGGCAGGGGTCATTTCCCGCTGGAGCGCACAGGAGTGGAGCTCCGGCAGTAAAGAGCCCAGGGGGCGGGCACATGCAACAAGCCCCACCCCCTGCTTCCAGAAGCCCTCAGTCAGAGCAAGAAGCAGCCAGGTAAGCTGCAAAGCCCCGCCAGCCCCCCGACCCAAAACAGTCCAGTGGCACCTTTAAGACCAAGTTTTATTCAGGTAAAAGCTCTCCCTCCTCTGCGAGGACAGATCTGCACGTTCCCAGTTTGGTGTAGTGGTTAAGTGTGCGGACTCTAATCTGGGAGAACCGGGTTTGATTCCCCACTCCTCCACTTGCACCTGCTGATGTGACCTTGGGTCAGTCACAAGCTCTGGCACAGTTGTTCCTGAAAGAGCAGTTTGTGTCAGAGTTCTCTCAGCCCCACCCACCTCACAGGGTGTCTGTTGTGGGGAGGGGAAGGGAAAGGAGTTTGTAAGCCGCTCTGAGACTCCAAGTGAAGGGCGGGGTATAAATCCAATCTCTTCTTCTTCTTCTCCCCCGCCCCCAATAGGTAGCAATCCAAAACAGTCCAGTGGAGTCTGAGCAGTGGGTGTTGCCTTCTGACACACTTCTGGTGATGTCAGGGGGTCTGGCATATGCAAATAAGTTTTGCTAATGAGTTATGCTAATGAGCTCCTGTACCTCTTTTTCTATGAAATGACCCCTGGTCAGCGGATGGAGTATTTTGGAATGCAGAAGGTGGCAGAGCACACACAAGGATGCACGGCACGGGCAGGGACGGGTGCAAAACGGTTTCTGAGTAGGGTTGCCAACCACCAGGTGGCACCTGGAGATCTTCTGGCATTACATTTGATCTCCAGACGACCAAGATCAGTTCCCTTGTAGAAAATGGCTGCTTTGGAGGGTGGGCTCTGCGGCATTATGCTCTGCTGAGGTAATCTCTAGGTGCTTCCCAATCCCAAGCTGGCAACTTTAGCTCTGAGCATCATTTTCATGCTGGGCATTCAGAGATGATACTTCTGTGCAGGGGTCATTTCGTAGAAAAAGAGGTGCCGGAGCTCATTCGCATGACTCATTTGCATGTGCCACACCCCCTGACATAATTCGAAGTGTGTCAGAAGGCAACACCCACCGCTCAGGCTCCACTGGACTGTTTTGGATTGCTGGCTATGGGAGGGTGGGGGGGAACGTGCAGATCTGTCCTCGCAGAGGAGGGAGAGCTTGTACCCAAATAAAACTTGGTCTTAAAGGTGCCACTGGACTGTTTTGGACCGGGGCCCCCGGAGGGGGGGGGGCTCTGCAGCTTACCTGGCTGCTTCTTTCTCTGACTGAGGGCTGCTGGGAGCAGGGGGTGGGGCTTGTTGCATGTGCCCGCCCCCTGGGCTCCTTACTGCCGGAGCGCCGCTCCTGTGCGCTCCTGCAGGAAATGACCCCTGCTTCTGTGGGGGAGAAGACCACGCGCTTGGAACCGTCACATGCTTGTCATATGTGCTTCTCTCCGCCCCGGCTGGCACCACTGTTGCTGTCCTATTGGACAGTGCCGATATCATGATAGATAATGAGAGACACAATCCTGCTCTTGCCGTCGATCATGTCCTTCCTCCAAAAAGCTTCCGATTGCATCCATGTTCTCTCCTGTTTTATCGGCACAATGATGCTGTGAGGCAGGAAAAGCTGAGAGCTCCACGGCAGAGTAACATTTAAAACCTGAATCTCTCCGGGCTTAGTCCTTTAGTGGTTTGAAAGGCAGCACAGGCATGTGCCCTCCCACTCTCTGACCAGGCCCGTTTGGTTTCATTTTTTTGCTGAGTTTTAGAAGAGGCTCACAAGAAGGCGGGCCCTTCCCTGGAGAAGCACAGACAGGGCCGGCTCACCCACTAGGCGAACTAGGCATTCGCCTAGGGTGCCGGACCCTGAATGGGGCGCCAAGCTGTGCCTCCCCCCTCCTCCCCCGTTTTGGTGGCAGCGACGGGGGGGGGGAGGCGGTGGTGGCAGCAGCAAAAGGGTGGCTGGCTCCAGAGGTCTCCAGGCCCCACCGGGAGGTTGGCATCTGTGCCACAAGGCAGCCTCGCCTAGGGCGCAGAAACACCTCGAGCCGGCCCTGAGCACAGAGCATCCCTCTCAGCATTTAACACCCAGCGGTCATAAGGCTATCTCTTTCCACTGCAAAAAACAATTAAAGATACTTTACACTGCTGCCGCATGATTCACTGCCACAGGAGGCGGCAGCGGCTACAAGCATGGACAGCGTCAAGAGGGAATTAGATAAGCATATGGAGCAGAAGTCCATCCGTGGCTATTAGCCACAAGGTATAGATAGGAACTCTCGGTCTGGGGCAAGTGATGCTCTGTCTTCTTGGTGCTTGGGCAGGTCAACAGTGGGAGGGCTTCTGGTGTCCTGGCCCCACTGCTGGACCTCCTGACGGCCCCTGGTATTTTTGGCCACTGTGTGACAGAGTGTTGGACTGGATAGGCCACTGGCCTGACCCAACTTTGGCGTCTCTTATGTTCTTATATGTGAACCATTCCCGCCCAGCTACTCCCCTTCCAAGGCCAGAACAAGAGAAGGGCATCCAAAATCCTTCAAGCGCTGTGGGGTGCTTGCAAATTCCTCTTCCACACCCTGTCCCAAAGCAAGATAGTTAATGTTCAAATTCCATTCCGGCCAAGGCTGTGCCAAGTAACCCCACTGCCTCGGCAGAGAAAAAATGTCTGGGGAAAACAAAGCCACGCCCTGCCCTGGGAGCCTTGGATAATTCTGAACCGCAAGGGCTTGAAAGTTGATTCTTGGGTCAAGGGAGGACGAGAAATTCCTTGTTCACGCAAGCCCGACAGGCTCGAGGGGTAGAGAGGCAGGTATAGCACATCAGCAGTGAACCGGGAAAGCTGCGAGTTCAAATGTTGCCTCTGTCATGAGCTCACTGAGCAGAGTAAGTATGGCCTGGCTAAGCTGATGTACAAATTAACTCACTTGGGGGTGGGGCTATAAATCAGCCAAGTCTGATAATGGCGGGTCCACGGCCTGCTGGGGCCCCCCCCCCATGAGAAGAATGCAGAGACAATGTGTACCTTTTAAGTAGTTGCTATTCTCAGTTTCCCACTTTCAAGTTGCACACGCATGCATGTCTAGTGGTTTGTTTTGCTTTTAAAGTTGAAGGCTGGGTTCATTCTTTTCGTAGTAGTTTTGGTATTCTAAAATGTGGTTTTGGTACTGAAAAAATGATAGCAATTGGGAGCTTGTTTTGGAAGATGCACTCAAAGTTGGACAATGTTTGAGTCCAATGGCACCTTGAAGACCAACCAAGTTTACTTCTGGGTATAAGCTTTCGTGTGCATGCACACTATCTGACAAAGTGTGCATGCACGCAAATGCTTATACCCAGAATAAAACATGGTTGGTCTTCAAGGTGCCACGCGGGACTCAAACTTTGTTCTGTTGCTTCAGACCAACACGGCTACCCACCTGAATCAAAGTTGGACAGTTCCCTCTAAGCTGTGGAGTCTTGTGAGCAAAAATTCTACTTTGTGAGCTACCGGCATTAAAGTTGTGAGTAAGCAATTTGGCTACTGCATAAATTGGTTTGCTCTGGAGCCATCCCTTCCTGAGCGAAGACAAAAATGTGTGAGCCAGAGGCTCAAAAGCCGTGAGCTAGCTCACACTAACTCAGCTTAGAGGGAACATCGTGTAGCAACTTGGGAAACGCTTTTAGAAAGTGCTAGATTATCTATTTACCTCATCCCCTTTATGCCAAGAAGCTCAGGGCAGCACACACAGTTTCTCCCCATCTCCATTTTATCCTCATAACAACCCCGTGAGAGCAAATGACCAGGCCGAAAGTCCCTCACTGAGTTTCATGGGTGAATGGGAACTTGAATCCGGGTCTTGCTAGGCCTAGTCTAACACCGTAACTTCTACATTACACTGGAAAAAAGCACATTCTGCCCTTAAGCCTTACGTTAGGTTCATCCTGTGTATACTTTCTCCCCTTCATTTCCCTTCCTCCTCGCTGTCGCCTCCCGACTCCATGGCACCTCTGCTTTTCCTACACTCGTCTCTTCTGCCAACCAGTTACCATCAGTGTAGTCCCAATCCTATTCCCCATGCTCTTCAATCGTTACGTAAAGCCCTTAGGCCAAATCATTTGTAGTTTGGGGGTTGGCTGTCATCAATATGCAGATGATACAGATGGATAGATAGATAAATAGATAGATAGAAGAAGAAGAAGAAGAAGAGAGAAGAGGTTGGATTGTTCCCCCACCCTTCACTGCCCAAAGGTGTCTCAGAGCGGCTTACAAACTCCTTTCCCTTCCCCTCCCCACAACAGACACCCTGTGAGGTAGGTGGGGCTGAGAGAGCTCTGACAGAAACTGCTCTTTCTTAAGGACAGCTCTTGTCAGAACTATGGCTGGCAAAGGTCATCCAGCCAGGTGCAAGTGGAGGAGTGGGGAATCAAACCCGGTTCTCCCAGATTAGAAGAAGAAGAGATTGGATTTATACCCGGCCCTTCACTACCCAAAGGTGTCTCAGAGCGGCTTACAAACTCCTTTCCCTTCCCCTCCCCACAACAGACACCCTGTGAGGTCGGTGGGGCTGAGAGAGCTCTTGACAGAAACGGCTTTTTCAAGGACAGCTCTTATCAGAACTAGGGGTTGCCCAAGGTCATCCAGCCAGGTGCAAGTGGAGGAGTGGGGAATCAAATCCGGTTCTCTCAGATTAGAGTCCGCGCACTTAACCCCTACACCAAACTGGATGGTAGGTAGGTAGGTAGGTAGGTAGATAGATAGATAGATAGATAGATAGATAGATAGATAGATAGATAGATCTCCTTATTCAAATCCCCGGGTGATGTGGTAGAGGTCCTGAATCACTGCCTGGCTGCTGTGGTTAAATAGCTGAGAGTAAACAAACTGAAACTAAATCCTGGAAAGACGGAAGTAATTCTTGCTGGGAAAAGGGCATGGGCATGAAGGACATGAGGCTCCCCACTTTTGATGGGGTTCAGCTGACCTTTCCCGACTCAGTGAAGAGCCTCAGGATTATACTGGACCCAACGGTATTGCTGGAGAAGCAAGTGAATGCAGCCGTAAAAAAGGCATTCTTCCAATGCAGCCTAGCTCTAAAAATGGCCCCTTATCTTGATACGGCTGATCTGTCCACCTGGATCCATGCCACGCTGACACACAGATACAGACTAGACAACAGGAATGCAACGTACGTTGGACTCCCCTCGAAATCAATTCGGATTAGTGCAGAATGCCGCAGCTCAGCTATTATTGGGAGTAGATGGAACATGCGTGTGACTTCCATTCTGCTGTCACTCCACTGGCCACCCATCAGATATTGGGCTCAGTTTAAGGTCCCAACCTGCAAATGGGCAAAATCAACAACTGCTGGTACACAGTGCCTTCTCTGTTGCGGCCCCCAGCTTGCACGCTCTCAAGCTGTAGGGATGGTCTGCCCAGTTCATCCGAACTCGGCACCAATTTTTTTTTTGCTCATTTAGTGGTATGCACATAACCGCATAATTGGTCCATGGAAAACTCCATGGAGGACTCTCAGCATGGAGGTTTGATTTCCCATTTATGCACATGCGCAAAAAAAGCAAAAAAAACACCCCTCGCCAGAACATGCTGTCTGATCGTGCGGTGACAGGCTGAGCCTGCAGCAAAACGGGATGTGTGATCACGTGTAAAGGTAAAGGTTCCCTTGCTCGAAAGCCAGTCGAATCCGACTCTAGGGTTGCGGTGCTCATCTCCGTTTCAAAGCCGAGGAGCCAGCGCTGTCCGAAGACATTTCCGTGGTCATGTGGCCGGCATGACTAAACACCAAGGCGCACGGAACGCTGTTACCTTCCCAGTGAAGCGGTACCTATTTATTTCCTTGCAATTTCTTGCTTTCGAACTGCTAGGTTGGCAGGAGCTGGAACGAGAGACGGGAGCTCACTCCATCATGCGGCACACTCGGGTCTCGAACTGCTGAACTACCGACCTTCCACAGCCTGCAGTTCAGCGTCTTAACCACTTGAGCCACCGCAGCTCCGATCACGTGACTCCATGTGAAATTCCAATGGAGTTAATAGAAACGCTTCCCGATCACACCAAACGGCACATCTGACCACAGCCCATGAGGCTGAAGCAACTTTCCTGCTCAACTACACAACTCTAAACCCAGGAATCCATCAATACACTCCTGGAAAGCCTTACAAATTTGGGGGGGAAGGGGAGACTGAATTCCCCAGCTCCCTTTCCCAATTGCTCTCCTCTCTTCTTTTGCAGTCTCCATCTTGCACATCGAAAGCGTGCGTGAAGGCTACCAGTCTGAGGGGCTGCGGAAATATGGCGGCTCTTTCCCCGAGCCCCAGTGCTTCACAATCGTTTTCCGAGGCAAGCGGAAAAACCTGGATCTCGCGGCCCAGACTGCCGAGGAGGCTCAGCGATGGGTGAGAGGCCTCACCAAGCTAATGGCCAGAGCAGAAACCATGAGCCAGCGGGAAAAGCTGGAGCAATATCCTTTCCAATGAGGGCACAGCGCTGATCGGAGTACATCAGGAAGCTACTTTACAAAACCAGGGGGAATTGCACAACGCACCGTTCCCCTGACCGTCCATGGGTGGTCTGTCAAGAAGTCGTCTGTTGGGAGTTTTCAGTTGAAACTTAGGACGTTTTCCGCAGGGATGGTTCTCCCCGCGCCTGCACTTGGATTCCTCCGCTGCTTTCCCTCGTTTCTGCAGGTGTTTTTGCAGTCCCAGGTGCAAAAATGCAGTTTGTCCCCTGTTGCTCCACAGTATCAGACTTCCCTGTTTCCGGAAATTCCTTTTTTTCTTTTTAAACATTTTTTTATTTATTTTTTTAATTAAATATTAAAAAAACAGTTAAAAGTAAGAAAGCAAATCCTGGTGTTTATGCAGGGCAAACAGGGAGGTGTCGATTTTATGTGCTGCTGATGCTTCTAAGAGGGGCATCCATTTTTCTTGAAGATTGTCAGGAACGGGTTGATTTTCAGATCGTAGGATGCTAGTGGAAACTTTGTCCTGTAAAAAGAAGTCCCACAATTTCAGATACCAGTCGCTCAATAGCAGCGTCTTCTTAGATTTCCAATGAAATGCAATAACATTCCTAGCGGCCGCAAGACACAATTCTATCAACTCTTTCATAAGCCTATTGGGGGCAGGATGGCTCCAATGATTCAAAAGGAACAAGGAGGGTTGTAGTTGGAGGGCGCAACCTGTAATTAAAAGTATTTGGGCATTGACTTCTCTCCAGAAGGCCTGGACCTTGGGACACTCCCACCAGCAATGAATATAGGTGCCACGGCCAGATCGCGGGGTTAATGCCATGCCTGTTTCCTGAAATTCCCATGCTGCGCCACAAGAGGGGGGAAACTGCGTTTTTGTGCCTGGGACTGCAAAAATGTCTATGGAAATGTGGGAAAGCAGTGGAAGAATGCAAGTGCAGGCGTGGGAAGAACCATCCCTGCGGAAAATGTCTTAGATTCAAAAATGTGTGTTAGAAGCAGGGCTATTTTGGGGGCAGGAACGCACAGGAACGGAGTTCTCCCGAGTTGGCCACGCCCAGCAGGAACTCATTAGCATAACAGGCCACACCCGACAGCAGAAACTCATTAGGATTGGCTACATTAGAGGTGTGTGGCTTAACATGCAAAAGAGTTCCTGCTACAAAAAAAGTCCCTGGGTTTTGACAACAAACAAGGTAAACAGAATAAGAAGCAAAAGGTGGGTGTGGCTGGATGACCACACTTCTGGTAACACGGGGATGTGGCCTAATTTGCTAATGAGCTGTGCTGTCAGGGGTGTGGACTAATATGCTAATGAGTTCCTGCTGTTGGGTGTGGCCTATTATGCTAATGAGTTCCTGCTGGGCTTTTTCTACAAAAAGAGCCCTGGTTAGAAGGTTTCAAATTGGAACTGAAGGGCACAGAGAGAGGGGACTAATCCCTTCCCCTTTGCACCGTGGTGGGGTGCGCGTGAAATGGTCCTGGGGAACTATCGTTTGTCCTGTTGGGGAAACCTGTGTGCACTGACGGGCTGCTTTCCCCAGTGGGTGAAGTGGTGGCTCCGTAGGGACATTTGAAGTGTGTGTGGTGGCGGGGAGGCTTACAGCCCTTCTCCCTGCGTGCTGTGGTCCTGATCCCCCACACCTGCAAATTAAGTTTCAGCTGGAAACTCCCAACACACACCTGTTTGCTGGGATGCAGGGCACACAGGGGGCCTCTGGATCATGTCGCTCAGCCCTCAAACCAATCTTCCATCTAGACCAGACAAATCTAATCTGACCAGTAGCTGCTCTCCAAGCATCTCAGCAGAGAGGTTGTTTGCTATGTGAACTTTATAGTATTGCAATTTATGCATCTGTGTTTCACTGTATTGAAACCTGTTGTACGCCGCCTTGAGCCTACCTGTGCAGGAAAGGTGGGATATAAATAGAAAATAATAATAAATAAATAAATTTTGCAGGACCTGCTACCTTTTGGCTGTGATCACACACACTCAATCATCCGCTTTCAGTCCGCTTTCAGTGCACTTTCCAACTGGATTTTTACAGTGTGAACCAGCAAAATCCAGTTGGAAAGTGCATTGAAAGTGGATTGAAAGCCGATGATTGAGTGTGTGTGTGTGACCACGGCCTTTGTCAGTTTTCCCAGCATGGCAAATAGGGGCTCCCCGCGTCCGTTTCAGGTCCGGAAAATGGTGCTATGATTTTGCAAGTGGGCGTTCCGGGGACTGAAGCCTGCACACAAAGTATGTGTTCTGTATCCCAGGAAACTCTCTGAGAGCTCCTTAGAAGCAGTCGGGTGCAGTTTTGGACAGGAAGGGGAGAAAGGGTTTCCTGAATTGCTGGGAGGGAATGATTTAAAATTGCATTTTGAAACTGCATTTGGAGAAGGATCCCTGTCAGCACCAATGCTCCCTCTAAGCTGTGGAGTCTTGTGAGCAAAAATTGTACTTTGTGAGCTCCTGGCATTAAAGCTGTGAGTGAGCAATTTGGCCACTGCATAAATTAGTTTGCTCTTGAGCCATCCCTTCCTGAGCTGAGACAAAAATGTGTGAGCTGGAACTAAAGAACTGTGAGCTAGCTCACACTAACTCAGCTTAGAGGGAACACTGGTCAGCACCATGGATTGGCTGCACACTGGAGACGGCCCAAGCATCACTGGGCTGCATCAGTTGTGCTGTACTCGTAAGCCCTTAACGGTCTGGGACCCTCACACCTATGGGACCGCCTCTCCCGTTACAACCCCCTGGGCTCCCTTCGGCCATCGTCTCGGGGCTTCTTGCAGGTGCCTGGCCCCAGGATGGCTCGCTTAGCTGTCACTATGGGGAGGGCCTTCTCAGTTGCGGCCCCTGCCCTGTGGAACGCACTCCCGGATGACACCCCTGCCCTGCCGGACTTGCTTAGTTTCCGCAGGGGCAGGCAAGGCTGAATTCTTTAGATTGGACTTTGGAAGGTAACCACATGTTTGGAGTGTTTTAATACTGGTATGGTGACAGCCGCATACCTTAATAGTTTAATATTTTATGTTCATATTTTATATTTGTTATTTGTTTTTATGTTGTTTTACCTTCTTGGTTTTAACGTTGTAGGTCGCTGCGAGGCCCTTTGGGTGAGCAGCCACGAAAAAGATCAGATTAAAAAAAGAACCCAAAGGAGAAGAATCCAGGTGGGCAGCCGTGTTGGGCAGAGGCACGAGGGCATCGCTTGAGTCCCGTGTGCACACGAAAGCTTATACCCAGGCTTAAATGTGGTTGGTCTTAAAGGTGCCGCTGGACTCAAACTTTGTTCCAAAGGAGGAAAAATTCAGGCTTATCGCCCTGAACTTTGGAGTCCATCCTCCTACCCCCTTCTTCGTCGATAATAAAGAGAAAGCAAGATGGTTAAGAACATAAGAGAGGCCAGTGCTGGATCAGGCCAGTGGCCCATCCAGTCCAACATTCTGTGTCACACAGTGGCCAAAAATAGCAGGTGCCATCAGGGGGTCCACCAGTGGGGCCAGGACACTAGAAGCCCTCCCACTGTTGCCCCCCCCCAAGCACCAAGAATACAGCGCATCACTTGCCCCAGACCGAGCTAATAGCCACTGAAGGACCTCTGCTCCATATACTTATCCATAAGAACATAAGAGAAGCCAGTGTTGGATCAGGCCAATGGCCCTTACAGTCCAACACTCTGTGTCACACAGTGGCCAAAAATAGCAGGTGCCCTCAGGGGGTCCAGCAGTGGGGCCAGGACACTAGAAGCCCTCCCACTGTTGCCCCCCCCCCAAGCACCAAGAATACAGAGCATCACTTGCCCCAGACCGAGAGTTCCTGTCTATACCTTGTGGCTAATAGCCACTGAGAGACCTCTGCTCCATATATTTATCCATAAGAACATAAGAGAAGCCAGTGTTGGATCAGGCCAATGGCCCTTACAGTCCAACACTGTCACACAGTGGCCGAAAACACCAGGTGCCATCAGGAGGTCCAACAGTGGGACTAGGACACTAGAAGCCCTCCTACTGTTGCCCCCCCCCCCCCAAGCACCAAGAAGACAGAGCATCTCTTGCCCTAGGCTGAGAGATCCTATCTATACCTTGTGGCTAATAGCCACTGAGGGACCTCTACTCCATATATTTATCCATAAGAACATAAAAGAAGCCAGTGTTGGATCAGGCCAATGACCCTTCCTGTTATGTATGGAACTCAACGCCGTCTCGTAAGTAAACAGTGAATCAGCTTTATTGAAGTAACAGGAACAATCAGAGACCACACAACAACATACAGTGGAGCAAGGCTCCTTTTAAACTATCCCGGGCTGGAGTAGCCACGCCCTAGAACAGTTAAGGACCAATGAGATTACAACGATAACAACTAATCAGATTTGTTGCCTCCTGAACATTGCTCTGCATTCTGATTGGGTACTTATATACAACAGCCAATAGAATTGTGACAGCTTACAATCCTTACTGTGGTCTCAAGCTCAACATGGCTTTTAATACAGTTAAAAGACATAACACTTCCAGTCCAACACTCTGTGTCACACGGTGGCCAAAAATACCAGGTGCCATCAGGAGGTCCAGCAGTGGGGCCAGGACACTAGAAGCCCTCCCACTGTTGCCCCCCCCCCCCAAGCACCAAGAATATAGAGCATTAGTCACCCCACACCGAGAATTACTCTCTATACCTTGTGGCTAATAGCCACGGATGGACCTCTGCTCCATACACTTATCTAATTCCCTCTTGTTCTTGTTTGAACATTCACTTCTGTTTCCCTCACATCCCTCAGAAATAACCATGTGATGCCAGGGCTATGTTGCCTTACCCTAAGAAGGATTAGCAGATTTGAGTGGGATTCAGTTGGATTTAGTGTACATCATCATCTGCCTGATTTGCTAGTCACAGTCTTCTTGTAAGATCTTCGCTCTGAGCTGCGTAACGGCTCAGGTTGAGCAGGGCTGTGCAATCGTTCCCTAATAATGACCATTCAGTATCCATTGTGCCCGGGAGTTAAAGGATTCCCTTGTAGTAACTGCCTCCCAGTTCCTTTGCCATTTCCTTACATCAGTTTTTACCTGGATTCATGACATCCTGCAGCGAGCGGATAAGAACAAGGACAACAAGATGAGCTTCAAGGAGATCAAAAACATGTTGCGCATGATCAACATTGACATGAATGACATCTATGCCTACAGACTCTTCAAGGTAACCCCCTTCCCCTGCATGGTTTCCTGCCTGGAACAAATCCTCCATCTCCCCTGCAGCGTTAGTCCTGCTTACCTTCCACTATGGCCAGGGTCCGACATACCTGAGGGACCGCCTATCCCCATATATACCCCAGAGAGCACTACGGTCGAGGTCCCAACATCGACTAGTCATCCCAGGCCCCAAGGAGGCTAGGCTCGCTGCCACCAGGGCCAGGGCCTTTTCTGTGGCGGCTCCTTACTGGTGGAATGAGCTCCCGGAGGAGATCAGGTCCCTGCGGGAGCTTCTGCAATTCCGCAGGGCCTGTAAGCCGGACCTCTTCCCCCTGGCCTTCAATTAGGAGCAGCCCACCACTACCATCAACGTCCACTATTAACATCGGGGGCGTTGGGCTGGCCGTCATTGAAAGTGAGCCATATTAGCTTGATATGCTGGGAGACCGCTGAGCTGGGTGCTTTGATGCCACCTTATATGGTACGCCATCTTAATAACACTGTGAGCACTTTAATTGTAAATCGGTTTGTTTGTTTTAAATGGTTTTGACTTTTATATGCACTTGGTACACTGTGCCAAGTAATGTAAGCCGCCCTGAGCCTGCTTGCGGGGAGGGTGGGATAAAAATACTACGAATCTCCCTTATAAATAAAAGCCGAATGGTGGTGGCACTTCTCTAGAACATTCCACACGCTCCAAAATCAGTTCGCTCTCTGATCTGTCATTCAGAGGGTCTCCCTATCCACTGGCTGCTTTGCCTGAGTCCTGCCTCCAACATTCTAAACAGTTTGCTGTTTCTCCCCCCCCCCATAACCAGTCAGAACACAGAGGTTATTTGCATATGCAGCCTCATTGGCCTTTTCCTCAGAACACAGAGGTCGTTTGCATATGCGACTCGATTGGCTTTTTCCTCTAACATTCTAAACAGTTTGCTCTTCCTCTCCCCTCCCATAGCCAGTCAGAACACAGAGGTTATTTGCATATGCAGCCTCATTGGCCTTTGCCTCAGAACACAGAGGTCGTTTGCATATGCGACTTGATTGGCTTTTGCCTCTAACATTCTAAACAGTTTGCTCTTCTGAGGTAGGGATCCCCCAGAATTACAGCTAATCTCCAGACTACAGAGATCTGTTCCCCTGGAGAACACGGTTATTTTGGAGGGGGGGACTCTGTGGGATTGTACCCCACAGAGTCCCCTGTCCTCCCCAGGCTCCGCCCACAAATCTCCAGGAGTTTCCCAACCTGGATCTGGCAACCCTAGCTTTGTCTCCAGAAAGCTTATGCTGGAATAAATTTTGTCTTGTCTTTAAGGTACCACTGGACTCAGGGGTCATTTCGTAGAAAAAGAGGTGCAGGAGCTCATTAGCATAACTCATTGGCATAACTCATTTGCATATGTCGCACCCCCTGACATCACCGGAAGTGTGTCAGAAGGCAACCCCCACCACTCAGGCTCCACCGGACTGTTTCAGATTGCTAGCTATTGGGAGGGGGGATGTGCAGATCTGTCCTCACAGAGGAGGGAGAGCTTGTACCTGAATAAAACTTGGTCTTAAAGGTGCCACTGGACTGTTTTGGACTGGGAGGCTGGGGGGGGCTCTGCAACTTACCTGGCTGCTTCTTGCTCTGACTGAGGGCTGCTGGGAGCAGGGGGGTGGGGCTTATTGCATGTGCCCGCCCCCTGGGCTCTTTACTGCTGGAGCTCTGCTCCTGTGCGCTCCCGCAGGAGATGACCCCTGACTGGACTCCGGTTTCTTACTCACTCCCAAAAGCCACCTTAGATGTGATCAGTGTTCCCTCTAAGCTGTGTTAGTTTGAGCTAGCTCACTGTTTTTTAGCCCTCAGCTCGCGGTTTTTTGTCTTCGCTCAGGGAGGATGGCTCCAGAGCCTACTAATTTATGCAGCAGCCAAATCCCTCGCTCACCACGTTCATGCCAGTAGCTCACAAAGTACAATTTTTGCTCACAAGACTCCACAGCTTAGAGGGAGCATTGGATGTGATCGCCGTTCTGGGACACATTTCTGGCCACCACTTTCTGAATAAGGGCAGCAGAATTGCACTGGCTTAAAGAGCCACGGCTTGATGAAAGAGTCAGGGGGACCCGGGCAGTTGCCTAGGGCTCTGAGGGTGGTGGTGGGGGGGGGAAGTATGCAAAGAAGTCCCTAGTGATGCCCCCAGCCCCAGTGGCACTGCCTGGGTCGTCAGACCTGCCTTCTCTGCCCCCGCGGAAGAAGAGCAGATGACCACCTGGTCTGTTGGGCCGGGCTTCCCTCCCTCCCACTTCATGGGGAGGCGTGTCAGCTGGCCCCCTCAGAGTGGGGAAGATGAGCAGGCTGCTGGTAGTTCCACCGGCACCGGGCTTTGCTCACACTGTCCGTATTTATTCCCTTTGCTTGCAATCTGGTTTTCTCCCTGAGATGCCGGGCGGGTTACAAAATTGAAAACCAACACAGGTCCCGGTCACACGGGCCACATAACACAGGGGGGAGGCGTGGCTGTTTGCCCCGGAGCCAAATAAAGCGCAGTAGCCCGGCCAGCTTTAACGTACCTTTAAGAGTAGTTGCACCCTGGGAATTGGAGTGCACAGTTAGGGATCCCAGAAGCTTCCCTCTGACTGGCTCATTAAGCGTAATTTCCTGAGCTCAGAGGCGCAAAGATGGGAGTTTTATTGTTCCTGTCCAGCGGGAGCTGTGCTAAGCCAACGCTCTCTAGGTGTGAGTCAACACACGACTACTGAGTAGAGCTTAAATCATCTTTATTCAACTTCACACGCATTCAGAAGATCATTTACTCACAATCGACCAGATAGCTGGGTGGAAAGTTACATCTTGTGATCTAGGTCAGTTCAATAGCCGCGGTGAGAGAAGAGATGGGCTTCCCCTCTCCTTGCAGTAAGGGTTGATGGACAAAGAAACGGAAAAGCTAATGAGCTGTACTATCAGGGGTGTGGCCTAATATGCTAATGAGTTTCTGCTGTTGGGTATGCCTTATTATGCTAATGAGTTCCTGCTGGGCTTTTTCTGCAAAAAGAGCCCTGCCTGCCCGCTTCCTCAAAACACTTGGCGTGCACCAGGAAAGGTGTTGGCACCCACAGACACCGCGTTGGAGACCCTTGAGCTCAGAGGTCTTGGAGAAGAGTTTCCCAGGAAATAGGCAGTCATCTGTCATGGCTTCTGTTAACAAGCAGCGTTGTGGATCCTGGGGAGTCCCTGTGTCTGTCCGGTGTCACCCCCAGTACACCCTTAGCGCGAGTCTCCATTCGGTATTCCTTCCTCCTTCCTTTCCTCAGGAGTGTGATAAATCGAACAACGACCGCCTGGAGGAGCATGAGATCGAGGAGTTCTGCACGCGTCTGATGGCACGCCCTGAGCTGGAAGAGATCTTCCATGGCTACTCGGGTGAGGACTGCGTGCTGTCCGCGGAGGAGCTGCGAGAATTCCTGCGTGACCAGGGTGAGGAGGCGAGCTTGCAGCGGGCTCGGGAGATCATCCAGATGTACGAGCTGAACGAGAAAGGTACCAGCTGTTTTGCCAATGCTTTGAAGTTATTCCGATTCAGATGTGACCCACAGGAGGTTCTCCCTGGTTGCACACAGAACATTCTTTCCCAGGAGCAATAAAGTCATCCGCTGCCTTGCGGCTAGGGAGCGCCTGGTTTAGCATTGCTAGCTGCTTAGGGGTAGGAGAGTCGGTACGCGGGGTTTTCCTAACTGCTGCTCTTTCCCCAAGTTCCCCACAAATCCAAAGAGCTGTGAAACTGGCTGGGTGTCAGATGGCAAGCCTGGCATCTCACCCAGAACAGGACAGGGGGTTGTGACCAGTGTTCCCTCTAAGCTGAGTTAGTGTGAGCTAGCTCACACTAACTCAGCTTAGAGGGAACATTGGCTGTTGTGACATCATCACTCTTCCCCACTTCCACAAAGAGCGGCCTTGGCAGTACAGCAGGAAACAGGAAGTGTGGTGGGGCTGTGTCACATGTTTTGGGGCATTGCGTGGGAGGAGGGGTGGGGGGGGGATTTTGCCCCGGGGCCCTGCTTTCCGCAACATCTTCGTTTATTTTATTATTACGTACTGAATACATTTATATGCCACTTCTTCCTCATTGTGTTCAAGGCGGCTTACAGTGCAGAATAACAACTGCAATGCGATGCATGCTGTGTAAGAGATAAAGGAGATGGGGAAAGATCTGAAGAAGTGTGCGTGCCCATGAAAACTGATTAAACATGGTTGATCTTAAAGGTGCCGCTGGACTCACATCTTCGTTTATTTTATTATTATGTACTGAATACATTTATATGCCACTTCTTCCTCATTGTGTTCAAGGCGGCTTACAGTGCAGAATAACAACTGCAATGCGATGCATGCTGTGTAAAAGATAAAGGGGATGGGGAAAGATCTGAAGAAGTGAAAACTGATACCCAGACTTAAACATGGTTGGTCTTAAAGGGGCCGCTGGACTCAAACTCTGCTCATTGGGTATAGGCTATATCTGTGCCTGCAGGAAAGCGTTTCGGAGGGGTTGGAGCCAGCTGGCCGTTAGTGTCAGGCCAGCACATGGAGGGAGTCTTGCTTTCTCAGCTGCTGTTGAGCTGAAAATACCTGAAATATCCACCTGTGGCACGGGCTCAGTGCTCCCTAGCAGTGCGACAGGTTGGAAGACTCCCGGTTACTTCCGCTCACGGTCGCTCCCGTCCCACAGCCAGGCAGCACGACCTCATGATGCTGGACGGATTCACGATGTACCTGCTCTCCTCAGCCGGAAGCGTCCTCAACCAAGCCCACACTGACATCTACCAAGACATGACGCAGCCCCTCTGCCATTACTTCATCTCCAGCTCCCACAACACCTACCTGACGGACAACCAGATCGGAGGTGCCAGCAGCACCGAGGCTTACATCCGGTAAGGAGGCGGTGGTGCCACGGCAGGAGGGGACTCTGCCCAAAGGGGGGCTGAGTTGTGAGCCAGTTTGGTGTCGTGGTGAAGTGCGCGGACTCTAATCTGGGAGAACTGGGTTGGATTCCCCACTCCTCCGCTCTCACCTGGCTGGATGACCTTGGGCAAGCCGTAGCTCTGATAAGAGCTGTCCTTGAAAAAGAGCTGTTTCTGTCAGAGCTCTCTCAGCCCCACCTACTTCACAGGGTGTCTGTTGTGGGGAGGGGGAGGGAAAGGAGTTTGTAAGCCGCTCTGAGACTCCTTCAGGTAGTGAAGGGTGGGATATAAATCCAATCTCTTCTTCGCCTTCTGTAATCTGGGAGAACCGGGTTTGATTCCCCACTCCTCCATGTGCACCTGGCTGGATGACCTTGGGCAAGCTGTAGTTCTGATAAGAGCTGTTCTTGAAAAAGAGCAGTCTCTGTGAAGAGCTCTCTCAGCCCCACTTCCCTCACAGGATGTCTGTTGTGGGGAGGGGAAGGGAAAGGAGTTTGTAAGCCGCTCTGAGACACCTTTGGGTAGTGAAGGGCGGGGTATAAATCCAATCTCTTCTCTTCTTCTTCTGATGGATGGGCCAGCAGGGCAAAGTTGGTGTGGGCAACACTCTAGGAAGGCAAGACGTCTAGGACAGAGAGCAGCTGTGGCAACTTGAGGAGTTGGGTTCGAATTCCAGCAGACCTGGGGGGGTGGAGTCGTGGGCAGCAGCCTGTTGCGGGTGTTCCCTCTAAGCTGAGTTAATGTGAGCCAGCTCACAGTTTTTTAGCCTCTGGCTCACACATTTTTGCCTTAGCTCAGGAAGGATGGGCTCCAGAGCAAACTCATTGATACAGCAGCCAAGTCGCTCGCTCACAACTTTAATGCCAGTAGCTCACAAAGCAGAATTTTTGCTCACAAGACTCCACAGCTTAGAGCAGGGGTGTCAAATACGTGGCCCGGGGGCCAGATCAGGCCCCTGGAGGGCTTCTATCAGGCCCGCAGTGGAACTGGCCGTCTTCTGCTGCTTCTTCCAGTTCTGCCGCTGCTGTGCCTACTCAAGATTGCAACAGCACAGACATTTTGATGCAATGATTCAGAGCAAGAGATGTCAGTTATCAGACACTGCTAAATAAACAAAATATTGCAAGAGTGCTGATGTTTTAAGCATGTTTTTATTTTAAGTAAAAAAAGCCACAACCCTTTGTGTTTGTGTCCTTTATAAAATTTATACCTCCGCTACCTGCCATTGGGGCTGCGGTGGCTCAAGTGGTTAAGACGCTGAACTGCAGGCAGTGGAAGGTCGGTAGTTCAGCAGTTCGAGACCCGGGTGCCGCATGACGGAGTGAGCTCCCGTCTCTAGTTCCAGCTCCTGCCAACCTAGCAGTTCGAAAGCAAGAAATTGCAAGTAGATAAATAGGTATCACTTCAGTGGGAAGGTCACAGCGTTCCGCAAGGCACACAATTACATACACACACACAAGAACTAAGTAAAACAGAGAGATTTGGGATAGGACAGTCGCATTAGCAGGGTATCGTTGGTGGGCGATATTTACCTCAGGCGATGCGCATCTCCTAAATCTTCCAGCAGGAGGTATTAGGGTGGGGAGGAAAATATAAATGGGGAAGGCGCGTGTAATCAGGCCAGCTGAAAACACGTGTAGCACTCTAGCTGCAGACTAGAGTGTAAAGTGAGGTAAGGGTTTGGGTACAGTGAGCTGAGCATAAGGGGAAACAGCAGACAGGCAGAGGGCGTAGGTAATGGTAGGAGAAGGGTCTCTAGGTCACCCTGTGCTCTAAGTTTTAAAGCTGCTGGAGAGAGTGGGAGGGAGGAAACGTCTTCGGACAGCGCTGGCTCTTCGGCTTTGAAACGGAGATGAGCACCGCAACCCTAGAGTCGGACTCGACTGGCTTACGAGCAAGGGAACCTTTACCTTTACCTTACCTGGCATTACCTTTTGTGACACACATGGCCCGGCCCGACAGGGTCTCGCGCCGAGCCTTGGGGTGCACTCGAGAGACCAGAGCAGTGGGAACAAGCTGAGATACGGGAACGTCCCTATTACAGAGACGCTGGGCACGCTGGGCAAAGGAGGGCGGGCACGGGTCAAGAACAGAGGGGCTTTACCTTGGAGCGGCGATGGTATCAAGGTCATTACCGAGGGGCTGGAGGAGGCAGGCTCGTCCGAGGTACACCCCGGGCTTTCCAGAATTAAGGCTCAACCAAGAAAAGGTGTTAGGGAAAACACGTGTATCACGGGGAGCAGTTGAAGCCGGGTTGGAGGGAACACAAGGTGTTTTGAATGAATGTAATAGAATGTAACCTGTAATAAAAAGAGGAAACGGAAAACACCGGGAAGGATGACAGAGGACAAACAGTCGACCTTCCTTCTGGAGGTGAGGTACGGTGTGTGCCGAAACACCCGGCCCCCTCAATCTGAGGTGTTGTTTCCGAGCTTGAGAAATTCTACCCAGAGACTGGTGATTTTGCGTGGAGAAGCGCCACGGATACCGACACTCATTTATGTCAGATCCGGCCCTCATAACAAACGAGTTCGACACCCCTGGCTTAGAGGGCGCATCGGAGGAGGAAGCCGATGCGCCACGGATGGGGAGAGAGGGCAGCCATCTGGTGCGGCTGCTTTCCGCACTGGCCAAGGCAAACTGGCCGAAGAGGGGTGGCCAGGTTGCTGCCAGGGAAGGGCGTGGCGCTGTGAATATATTTGCCTGTGCCACCTTTCACAGACTCGGGGGGGGGGGCTTCCCTGGGGGGCCCTTTCCCCCTTAATGCCCAAAGGAACCCT